TAGTGGAATGCTTGTTAATTTATGAATTTCTTGGGATTTATGGACACCCTTCTTCCAAAAATGTAATATAGTCTGACGTTGTGATTCTAGATCTGATGATGTCATGGTTACAGCTTTATTTGTGATAATATGATAATAAAATTTTTTAAAAACTGTATTACAAGTAAGAAAAAACAATAACAAACGTATGTGTAAAATGCAATGTGATATTATTGTTTACGCAAAAAGTTATCACGTTTTAAATCACATGGCTTTTTGGCCAATTATTTTTGTAACACACTGTATAACAAAAAAAAACAATATAATTTTGTAAGTACAATGTTAAATAAATATATCTGTTTATTAATGTAGTGAGTTCTTTTAACCCATTAAATTATCATCATTACCTTTAGGCTTTCTTAAACAAAATATATCCATCCATAAGGCTGATTTTATGTTGGTGGTAATAGTTGATCCAAAACTCACTATTCTAGTTGAATTAAAAAGATATTTATTAAAGAATTATATCATTTACTAATACTAAGGAATTATTATTATTATTATTATTATTATTATACATTTGGAATGTGGATCATAGAAGTTGTCCTTATTTCCACTGTCCATGCCTCATTTGACTACCAATGGTAATATTACTTCTAAAAAACCAAATAGTGGTTTCTTGTTTGTGTTTTATTGAAATTACAAGCTCAAAAAATTTGCTGTGACATTATTAAGAATTGAAGGCATAACTTTGAACAGGTAATTCTTTTCCATTTTGTTATTAGCAAACCATAGCTAGAATTTTGCAATCCCTCGATTTTAATAGTAAAAATTGACATGTTGCACAAAATTTCTGGAAAACCAGGCTTCGAGTTTCGTGTTACGTGTAATTTTCATGTTTTCGTTATGAAAAATTACATGTAACACGATCGCGTGAAATGTCGTCCGACTATTATGACTTTCTGGTGCGGGAGCTGGATTTAAAGTTATTTGAGCTAATGAAAACAACAATACCATTTGAGAAACTTATAAGCACAATCACCCAAAAACTTTTTTAGATACTCGTTCAATAACATAAAAAATAGTGAAATACCGGGATGTGATGGTATTATTGGTGGACCGCCTTGTCAAAGTTGGTCATTAGCCAGAAGCAAAAAGGGAAAAAGAGGAATTAGTGATAAGAGAGGGAAATTAATCCATGAATACTTGTGAATTGTTAGAGCAAAAATAGATTTTTATTTAGTTAAAGATGTAGCAATTACACATTAAACAACAATCACTTGTCAAGTTGATTTACAATAAACAAAATAATAATAGAATGATTCTTGTTTTGCTTTATCAAAAGTTTTGGTATGATTGTTTGGGAACATACTACAGGCAAGACAGTAATAACATTTATCTTTTAAATAATTTTCTTCATATTAAAACATTTGAACATTAATATTACTAATTATCAATTTTATTTTCTGATATATATATATTTTCAATGAATATCAACATTGGTTGAGTTTTTTCTCAATTATTGCTAATAATATATACATTTATTTTATCCAATAATTATTATTTTATTTTTATTTTCTCAATTACAATTAATATTACTACTAACACAAATGATTTCATCCCACATCTTTCTGAATAATTCATCTACTAATAATTTATATTTTTATTCCTTATCTATTGATTTATTCAAGTACCAATTATTAATTTATATTCCAACATATCTCTTTGATGTTGGTAAGAAATTTATTTTTATTTTCTCCAATTACAATCAATTATTATTATTATACAAAATGATTTTATTCTGAATCAATTACATACTAATAATTTATATTTATATTTCTCATTTATTTATTTATTTATCTACTAATTATAATTTTATTCTCTAGTATATGTATATCCAATACTGGTAAAAACTTTATTTTATTTTTCTTTAATTACCTACAATCAATTATTACTAATACAAAACAATTTTATTCCATGTGCTACATTTATTAATTTATTTATTTATCTATTAACTATTATTTTATATTACAATTTATATATATCTTTAATTTATATTCCAACATATATCCTTGATATTGATAAGAAATTTATTTTTACAATCAATTATTACTACTAACATAAACAATTTTATTATACACTTTTCTGAATCATTTACCCACTAACAATTTATATTTATATATACATTCTCATTTATTTATTTATTTGTCTACTAATTATTTCTTTTATTTTCTCCAATTATTATTATTATACAAAATGATTTTATTCTGAATCAATTACACACTAATAATTTATATTTATATCAATTTTATTTTAATTATGCTTCAGGATGGAAAAGCTCTAATGCAATTATTTTATTGCTTCAATAGTTTTGTAATAAAATTAATTTTATATACTGTAAATAAAAATAATAATAAATATTAAAACCTATAAACGCAAACAATTCTGAATGTAGAATCTACAAACAATAATCCTGTGTGTATTTTATGTGCATATTATACATATAATTAGCAAACAATAAGCGAACAATAAACTCATGCATATTTTAAACGCAAATTACACAGAGATATGGCATACAGCTGTGCGTTTAATCCCTACAATTATCGAGATTAAGCGCACAGCTGTATGCTAATTGCATGCTATATCTTCGTATATTCTATGCATTTTTTCAAATCAATTTTCCTGATGAAAGATCACCAATGCAATAAATTTTATTGAAAGAATTATAAATAATGACAAATCTCTTTCAAAAAGTTTAAAGACCAAATATTCCTGGGTTCAACTCTATTTAAGACATTTATTATTAGGTAAAAAATGATTGATGCAAGTAATAAAGTTGCAGAATTATATGGAAAAGGGGAATATTGTTCTAGATGTATTCATAGATGGGCTAAAATATGTTTAGAAGGTGTGATTTATTTATTTATTATGCTAAACAAAGATGAACTGTTAATCATTAATTTTTTATAAATAGGAAAACACATTTCACTTTCTCTTAGTGGTAAATTTTCTTCCAAAAGTTTCCTACATGATGAATTGGTTTCTTTACAGGTATCTTCTTACCTTCATTCCAAAAAATTTAAAGTTAGTCCAATGCTAGTCAAAAAATATTTTGAAGAACATATTCTTCCTGTTTTACACATTGAAGTTCCATTCACAATTTCTGTCAGAACTGCTGCTTGTTGGATGAATAAATTGGGATTCTATTATAAGCAATACAAAAAAGGAATTTATTTTGATGGACATAATTGTGAAGATGTGGTAATGTATAAAGCTAAATTTCTTAAACAGGTTCAATAATTTGATCATTTATTGTCACATTGGAATGATAAAGAGTGTAAGATAAGAACTCTTCCAACATTGGAATTAGGTGAGAAAGAACATGTGTGGATTATACATGATGAGAGTACATTCCATACATACAATGGACCATGTGCTGTTTGGGGACCACAGGAAGAGCAACCATTGAGAAAAAAAGGTTTGAGCCAAGGAATTCATGTTTCAGGTTTCTTAACAGAAACTATAGGACCATTGAAAGATGATACTGGTGAAGCAAGAGTTACTATGGTTTTGGGTGCAAATCGGGATGGTTACTGGAATGGTGGAAAGTTATTAATACAGCTTTGTTGAGCAATAGATATTTTTGAAAGGACACATCCTGGATTTATTGGAATTTGGGCATTTGATAATGCTACATCACATACAGCCTATGCATCAAATGCACTATTAGCAAGTAAAATGAATAAGGGACCAGGAGGATCTGTGCTGAAAACAAGAGATACAATTTGGGATGGGCAAAGACAATCAATGGTAATTGAACATGATTTTTTTGTTTTAGATAAAAAGCCAAACAAATCAATTAATCTTCTAGGGGAGCCTAAAGGAATTGAGTGGGTATTAAAGGAAAGAGGTCTGTGGCAAGAAAATATGGTGCTTGATTGTCAAGCATGTTCAAAGAAAGAACCAAATCCTGATAATATAGGTTGTTGTGCAAGGCGTTTAATTGCCAATCAACCAGATTTTCTTGCACAGAAGGGATTAATTCAACAAGAAATAGAATCAAGAGGACATAAGGTATTAGAGGTTGGAATCAACTAAAATAGTCAACTAACTTTTTTTTTAAACAACTAATAGTCGACTAATACTAATTATTATTATTGTCTGGCCAATTATAAATGAAAACGTTTTTTGTGGTACAAAAAAAATTTAAAAAATAATGGAAAATAATAAAAATAAATATGCGGAGTATCAATATTATGAAGAAGATGATAATGGTGGTGTTGGTGCTGGTGTTGGCGATAATTATCCATGTGAAATAATAAACATTGATACAAGGTCAAATCATTCCAACAATTCGTTGGCTTCAAGCTCAAGCAGTGGTTCCAGACATTTAAAAAATGAATTATAACATATAGCTTTGTATAGAAGTATTTTGAGAAAATTAAAGATTCAAATGGAGATGAATTTGTAATCTGCAAATTAAAAAAAACGTTAATAATAATGAAACAGAATGAATATTCTAATTAAATAGGATGTTATTCCCGTGACTAGTGTGTGACTATTTTGCGAAGCAAATAGTTACACACCCCTATAAAAAATTTGGTACGGAAAATGTATGAAAAATGTACGGTTCATGTACTGTTTTACCGTATATTATTTTTTATAGGGCACTAGTATTAAAAAAATTTAGTCAACTAAATAGTTGACTAAAAGAAATTTTGACCAACTAATAGTTGACTAAGGATTTTTTGGATGATTCCAACCTCTATAAGGTATAACTTATTATTTATTTATTAATTGGTTCTTTTTATTCCAAATTGACTAAAAGAAGTTTTACAATGAACAGATTATATTTTATCCAAAATTCCACCCAGAACTTAATTATATTGAAATGTTTTGGGGGACTGCAAAAAAGTTTACCCGTGAAAATTGTGAGTATACTTTAAGTTCATTAAAAACTAATTTACCATTAGCATTTGATTCTATTTCAGTTGAACAGATTAGAGCATATGCTAGATTATCTTGAAGATCGATGGATGCTTACAGGCATGGATTATCTGGAAAAGCTGCAGAATATGCAGTAAAAAATAACAAATCACACAAAAGAATTAATGAGGATGTCATGAATAGAATTAATGTTTTACTAAATTGATTAATTTTCTTAAATTTTACTGGCTAAACCTGTACATGTGATATATTTTAAAATCTCAAAATTTGCCACACTCCTTGTATCACTTGATGGTTTTTGCTGTCATCCACTGTAGCCAAAATTATTTACAGTAGTCAAAATTATTTACAGTGCCAAAATTATTTACGGTGCCAAAATTATTTATGGTGCCAAAATTATTTACGGTAGCCAAAATTATTTACAGAATTTAATTACGGCAACTTTTATTTTATTTTCATTTACAGTTTTCCCATTTGTATTTTTGGTGCCAACTATACTTGTATATTATTTTGTTCAAGAAAATTAAAAGCAGTTTCAAAAGCTTTTTCACATTTTTGGAAAAAGAAGATAGTTGTTAAGACATTTTAATTTTGTAGAATTTAGAGATTTATTAATTTAAAGAAATGTTGATTATGTAGAATTATTAGAAGATTTATTTATTATCAATTTAGAAATATGGAAAATTTGATTAATATTATTATTTAGATGTGTGTTTAATTATTTGTGTAAAATCATTATTTAGAAATATGAAAAATTTGATTAATATTATTATTTAGTAATGTGTGTTTAATTATTTGTGTAAAATCATTATTTAGAAATATGGAAAATTTTGATTAATATTATTATTTAGTAATAGTAATGTGAGAATTTATTCATGAGAATTATGCAATTTGTTTATATTATTATTTAGCAATGAATTAATCTTAATCCGTTGTAACGCGATTAGTACTTATTACTAAAATCCTAGCAAAAAATTCGTTGTCCGTTGAAACGCGATTTAAATATAAAACAAGAATTTTTTATATTAATTAATATTAATAGAATCAAGGGGTAAAACCAAAAATCCGTTGAAACAAGGGTTCGACTGTATTATTGTTTATTGTAATGTTTTAGTATGTGGTGATGAATCTACAGTTAATTATATTACACATTTATATGATGACCTCAAAAAGAACAAAACTTAATCCACTTTTATTTGAAAAGAATAAATTTTAAATTTTTTGTTAACAATGAATATTCACTGGATAATCAATGAATAATCATTCTCACTGATTAATTAATTTAATGATTTAATGAATATTTGGATATTTTAATTATTCACCAAATTATTATCCGAAAATTAAGCTTAATTGAATGAATATTCAGTGGTTACAATTTGCTTTTGGGAATAAAAAAAAGGATTTCTTCAAGAATAATTTCAACAAACATATAAAGGGGTTCTTAAAATAGTATATAAGATATGCTTTTTTTGGATCCATAGTGTGTGTCACCACCAAATAATTGGTCTTCTTTATTCTAGTTAAAAGCTATCAAGCTACATTGGAATTTTTTAAATAAGTTCAATGCAACAAGGATCATGTCAGTTAAAGTTTGAAAAATGACTGCCCCCTAGTAAACTAATAAGTTCACCATGAAACCACCTTTCACTGTTACCTACTAAATCAGGCCCTGTAAAGGTATTAAGATTTAACACCTGACATTCAAATGTAGATAAAAGCAAATGGTTATTACCAATTATAATAATCTAAAAGGAAATCACATGATGCAGTTGCATATTCTATACCCTCTGAACCATTTGATAAATTGATTGTATCTCTATTTAGACTATAGAGGAGTTGTTAGTAGGATTTTTATTGTATTTCTTTTTTAGTAATATTTAAAGAGATTTCTAATTTAATCATTTCTTCACATCTGGGTTGTGAAGTTCAGAAAGAGAAGGATAGTTGTGTTTGCCCTTCCAAATGCGCTCCATGATTTTTAAATATATATTGTTCATAATAATAGGTGTAATTTGGGTAGTGATTTTGAGTTTGTGGTATAAAAAATTATAAGAATAATATTAATCTATCATAAATATTCAAATTTCTATATTAAAATATCGTCGATCCTTTCCATTTATCGCGAATGGCGAATTAATGTACCAAATCAAGCTTCAGATTAACTGCAATTAATATTAAGATTAGGTGGGAATACCTTGCAGTATTTATTATTATCAAAATATTATAATTCTAGCAAGAACAAGTTGTATTTTATTATTTTCGCAAACTATTCCTAAATCAAAGGTTTATCAATTACAGAGGGAATATGGTTATTTTTATAGAAATCTATAGTTTGTTTTGCCATAGTTGCAATTTTTTCTGGCACAAAGCCGTATTTTTTGAAAACTTCTTTATAAGGCCCAGAAGAGCCAAATGATTTCATACCAAAATTTACATGAGCATATTTGGTCCAACCAAATGTAGAAAGTGCCTCAACACTTAATATAGGAATACCATCAGGTAGAACTGACCATTGGTATTCCTTAGTTTGTTCTTCAAATAATTCAAACGATGGTAAAGATACAATACGAGTATTGATTTGATCTTTTTCTAGTAATTTGGCTGTGTCAACGATAAGTGATACTTCTGATCCCGTTGCAACTAAAGTGATTTGCGCATTGTCACATTCTTTCAAGACATATCCGCCTTTAAGAACTTTTTCAACTGAAGTATCTTCCAATTGAGGAATACTGTGACGAGAAAGAACTAGTACTGATGGACAATTTGATCTTTGTATTGCAGCTAAATAAGCACCTGAAACTTCATTACCATCTGCAGGGCGTATTATTAATATATTTGGTAATGCACGAAGGCTAGCCAAAGTTTCAATTGGTTGGTGAGTAGGACCATCCTCACCTAATCATCATAATAATAATGATAAAATCATTTCTTTATAATTAAAAAGAAAATAACTATAACAATATTTACTCACCTAAACCAATAGAATCATGAGTCACGATATAAAGTACACGGAAGGAGGAAAGAGCAGATAATCTTACAGAACCCAAACCATAACTAATGAAATTCAAAAATGTCCCGCCAAATGGAATTATACCGCCATATGCAGTCAAACCATTCATAGCACCACTCATAGCATGCTCACGAACTCCGTATCTAATATATCGACCTGCATAATTCCCCAAGCCACTATCATCAGGTTGAAAATCCACAGCTGTTTTCCAACGTGTCAAATTAGATTCAGTCAAATCTGCTGATCCACCAATTAATTCTGGTAAAACATCAGCAATTTTATCCAAGACTTTTTCTGACAATTTTCTAGTAGCTAGGTCAGGATCAGATGGTTTATATCTAGGTAAATTGTCTGCCCAACCCTCTGGTAATTTACCTGAAAATCTTCTTTTGATTTCATTTCCCTACATTTTACAAAATATGTATGTGCATTGAATAATAAAATTATTTAGGCATTAAGATAAATTTTCAGAATGCTAACCAATTCAGGATATTTCGAACAATAACTTTTAAAAAGTTTATTCCAATTTTCGTCAGCATCAACACCCCTCTTACCCACTTTTTTATAAAAATCATAAACCTGTCATTATTTAATAAAGTTGTTATTGCCATGTCATTATCATGTCATTATTATTTATTATTATTAGTTATCCCATTATTAATGTTACCTCATCTGGTATATAAAAAAATTTATTGGGATCAAAATTAAATTTTTTCTTAATTTCAATGATGTCATCTGGTGATAAAGGTGAACCATGAACTTTTCCGGTGCCTTGATCTTTAGAACCAATACCAATTGTAGTTCTGATTTTAATCAAGGAAGGCTTGTCTTTAACATTCATTGCATTCTCTATTGCTTTGCAAATTCCGGCAAAATCATTATCGCCATCCTCAATAAATTGTGTATGCCAACAATATCCTTCAAATCGTTTAACTACATCTTCGGTAAATGCTATATCAGTGTTACCTATATTGGTATTTTTAAATATATTATTATCATTCATTATTAATAAAAATTATTAAGAAACATTGTTTAATTTGAATTATGATAGATTTACCATCAATAGAGACATGGTTATCATCGTAAAATACGATCAAGTTTCCAAGCTTAAGATGACTATAAATATTAATATTTTTTTTTTAGAATAAATTTATTAAGTAAATAAATAAATAATCAATGTTTACATTTTTTTTATTACCCTGCAAGTGAAGCTGCTTCAGAACTAATACCCTCTTGAAGACATCCATCACCAGCAATTACAAAAGTATGATTCGTAAACAAATCAAATGATTCTTTATTAAAAGTCGCAGCAAAATGTGTTTGTGCAATAGCCAATCCAACCGAATTAGCGAATCCTAGTTATATCAGTAGTATATATATATATATATAATTATTTGCAGATCCGATTCAGATAAATTCTAATAATCAAATCTTACCTTGTCCAAGAGGACCTGTGGTTGTTTCGATACCAGGTGTTAAATGACATTCAGGATGACCAGGCGTTCTTATAAATAAAAAAATTAGATCAAAAAGATATGCTAATAATTGATGAAAAATTATAAAAACTCACTTGCTATCTACTTGACGAAACTGTTTTAGATCATCCATGGTAAGGTCAAAACCTAGGACATGTAACAATATATAGTGTAAAACACATGCATGACCATTTGATAATATAAAACGATCTCTATTTATCTAAAGTCAATTAAAACATCATGTAAATTTATATATAATAAAATAATTGGATTATGTTCATATACTAATAAACTAATAAACTTACCCAGCTTGGATTTTTGGGGTTAATAGTGATAAACTTCGAGAAAAGCGCATGAGCAAGTGGTGCACAACCCATAGGCGTACCTAAATGTATAATATCAAGAATCAATGGACTAATAATTACGAAAAGTTTTAGTTTTATATAAAAATAGTATATACCGGGATGACCAGAGTTTGCCTTACTAACAATATCAGGAGCAAGAGTACGAATAGTATTGATACAAAGTTGATCTATAGAATTTGCCATTTTTTTTTTTAAATTTTTTTAAAAAATGATTTTTTACATTATTTATATATTTATAGTATATAAAATTAAAGGTTAGAAATTAAAAAATTTATGACGAAATGAAGACGATCATTGACGTATTATGAGCATGATAATGATAAGCGTGAGAATATATCTAATATTAATATATCCAATCACGAATATTTTGGAAAAAATTTTTAAATAACACATTAACAAAATAAAAAACTTTTTTTTTTTATAAATGTCTTTAGAAAAAATATACAACATATTTTCGAAAGAAGAGTGTAATTCGTTCAATTATACATGGGTTATTGAGAATTTTCAAAATTTTTATATATATAAAAAAGTTCTTAAAATTAAAAGTGATGAATTCACTGAACCAAAATTAAATAATAATTTTTTATTTGAAGAAGAAGATTTGTTTACACCATTATTTATAACAAAAGCAGACAAACTAGATTATATTTGGCAAATTCATCTCTATCTTAATATAGATGTGGAAGAAAAAGATTTTATTTCGTTATATCTTTTTCCTATAAAAAACAATTCTAATAGATATGTTAAATGGAAATTTGAATTATATAAATATACAAGTAATGATGACAATGATGAATTCCTTGAAGAGAATCAGAAAAACGAAGAAGAAAATTTTGAATTATTGTCAAGAAATTATGAATACGAGCACGACATATTTGATGATGATGAAGGATGGGGATATGAGAAATTTTGTGAAATCAAAAAGATTTTTCCGAATTTTAAGGATTATAAGAAAACCAATCTTGTAATTCATCTACACATACAAACTCAATGTTATTGTATTTTACCCTATGAAATTTTTTTGAATTCTACAAAAAATTTCGAAAATTCAACATTTGAAAGTTACTTCGATAATGAAAATTTCAGTGATGTTACATTTGTGTTTCCGTGTGGAAATCAACTTAAAGCATCACGTAAAGTTTTGTCAACCAAATCAACATATTTTGAAAAAATGTTCACAGGAGAATGGATGGAAAGATACGAATCAATAATTAAAATTAAAGAGACAAAATTTGAAACATTTAGATCAATGATTTATTTCCTTTATACTGGAAAAATTGAACTTGATCAATCATTTCAAGATTTGAAAGATCTTTACATTGAAGCTGATATACGTGGAATAGAGGAGGTTGTTAAATTAATTACAATATCTTTTTCATACAAATTAAACAAAGATAACTGGTATGAAATATTTTTGTTAGGAGATGATACTAATAATATTTCTCTAAAGAATATTATATTTCAATATATGTTTGATAATTGGTTAGAGATTGAAAAAAATCAAGAAACTGATTATTTATTGGGTTATGATGACGGGAAATTAATCGACCAATTAAAAAGAGTGGATAATTCTAATACAATAATTTCGAATACTTGGAACCTTGTATAATAAGAACATTTCTTCATTGTTTATGTGTCATTATTTTATTTATTTATTTTTATATTTTAGTAAAAAAATAAAAATAAAATCCAAAAATTCTTAATACACCATGAATATTAATATTGAATGCATCACTCTTATTCCTATTATTCTTACTTGTGGTTTTTTTTATATATGTAGAGCCAAATTATCTAATATTTTGAAGCCATTTGTTGACAATTTATTAAGTTTTCCAAATACCATTGACAAAGACTAGTATCATGATTATTTTGTTCTAAACATTTAGTAAAGGCTTTTGCATCATTTTCACAAGTAATAACTCCTGGATTTCTGCTAGTTGTTTCTGTAGAGTAAGTTTGATATTGTGTTTGCTAAAATTAAAAAGATAAATGTTTATTTTAAAAATTAATTAAAAAATAAAAAAATATTATTGATTATAATTATACCTCTGGAATAGATTGTTGGTTAGACTCCTGTGGTGCAGGTATTTCTGATGAACCACCACCTGTAAAAAGTGATGTGATACCATGCCCCTACAACAAAAATAAATTATTAGTGTGGTTTGTTTAAATTAAGAAGACCAATAATCAATATAACTCAATGATATTTCTTTACTTACAATGCTGTGACCAACAGCAACACCAGCTGCAGTAGATGCCATCTACATTAATAGTTAAAAATAATTAATTCATCAATCGATTGAATGAATGACATTTTTTTTGTTTATTTTTTTACCTGACCAAATAAACCAGGTTGCTTTTGATTAGGTAAAGTTTGTGGGGGTTTTTGTACGTTTGCTGGTACATTCGAAGCAGGTTGGACTGGGCGAGCGGGAAGAGTTGAAGCTTGTCTTTTTTGTTGGGTAGGTGCTTTAGAAGTTTTAGGCGCTGTTCTTGTTCCTCCACGACTTTTACGTGCCATCTTTATTATTATAATAAATGTAAGATTTTTTTTTCTATGAAAATTTGATCTTGCGATACATAAATTGTGCAGCTTTTTGTAATGTCGTGTAACACTGCCGATAAGTAATTAAACGATCCAAAAAGAAAGCTCTATCATTTTCCTAAACTTTTTTCAAAATGCCAAAGATCAGACATTCACGAACTAAAAAACCTCCACAAGGCTTCGAAGACATCGAACCAGTTTTATTGGAATTTGCTCAAAAAATGAAAGATGGTAATTAAGCTACCACACTAATAATAAATCTAAATAATCGTCAACACAATATCTATTTAAGCATTTATTTGTAATTATTAATAATTTATCATCTAACTAATAAAGCTGAAAACGAACCACATGAAGGAAAACGTCGTGTTGAATCTTTATGGCCAATATTTCGATTACACCATCAGAGATCGCGTTATATATATGACCTTTATTATAAACGAGAGGCCATCTCAAAAGAAATTTATGATTATTGTTTAAAAAACGGTTATGCTGATGGAAATTTAATTGCAAAATGGAAGAAGGTAATTATTATATCATTACCATCATCAAAAATTATTATATCATAAGCATACATATAATTAATTAATTATTATTGTTATTAGCCTGGATTTGAAAGACTTTGTTGTTTAAGATGTATTCAACCTAGAGATACAAATTTTGGTACGACGTGTATTTGCCGCGTTCCTAAATCCAAATTAGAAGAAGGTCGTGTTGTTGAATGTGTGTTATGTGGCTGCAGGTGACGAATTTTATGCATTATATTAAGTTTTGAGCCTGATACATCATTAATAATGTTGAATTTTTTTCTTTATTTCTCTACTGTCAAATAGAGGTTGTTCAAGTACTGATTTTACTTTTATCAAGAAGGATCAAAAATCAAAACAGAAAAGACTTCAAGAAGAACAGGAAGGTGAAGAGGTGGAAGGTGAAGGTGTGGAAGAGCAGCACCAACGACAATTAAATCAATATATGGCAGCTCAACAAGAAACATATGGAGAATCATCTTCGCAGTCAACATTAGCTGTAAACACAACCACAAACACTACCCAGAAATATTATGAAGAAGATGATGATGACGATGTTGATGATGAAAAGGAGGAGGGAGAAGAAGATGACGATGTTGATGAAAAGGAGGAAGAAGAAGATGATGACGATGATGATGAATCATAATTCTAATACTAACTTCTCTTTAAATTCAGATTACTACGGTAATCCGAATAGCAAGAAGGGAGACGGATACGGAAATATTTAGTTTTAAGGAATATAAATGACAAGATAAATAATGAATAAATTTATAATGGAGATTAAATTAGTCATTCATCAATAATTCATTAATTTCATCACCTCATCAATTCTTTCAATATTTTTCCTATATACTATCATTACTAAAATCTAATCTTTAATAATTATTAAATGAGAATGAATAAATGAAATTTTTATTCACCTTTGTTAAAATCACCATTTAAGAGAAAAGGGTTAAAATCAAGATCATTTAATGAGCTGTCATTAATTGTATTACTTTTTAAATTCAAATTAACAAATTCATCATTTAATATTCTACTTGTATGACATGCTAATGGATGTGATTTATGAATTTATTGTGAATTACCATTATTACCATTATTATTATTATTATTACTATTACTACTATTACTATTATTACCACCACCATCACCAATATTAATATTACTATTACTTTCATTAGGACTTTCAGTTCTAAGAGAAAATACTCAAAGCTGGTCTCTTGACTGGATCCACATCCCAACACCTTTGCATCGTATGTACATAATCATTAGGTAATATTGGTGATCGTTAACCTTCACATATTTTAATTGCAAATGAAAATTATGTGCTTCATCATCAAATAGTAGATGACCTGCAAATATTTCCACATTAACATCCAACGCTATAAATATCTGATTATTTGTATATTTTTCTGCTCTGGTGTAATATAAGATACAATTCCATATATTTTATTTGATGGTTTTTCATCAACTGGACCACATAATCCAAAAAATCTGTGATATAACAAGTACCTCCTTGCAACAATACATTGCCACCATGTAAATCAAATCTTTTGAATGTATAAAATATAATGATTCACATGATATTTAAAAATACTAATTCCATCATTTGATGTTAAATTATAATTTTTTTTTTTATAATCTCTTAAAATTTCCCTCTTGCACATAATTAAGCACTTTCCATTTTCTAGGAATTTAGTCATAACAAGCCCTTAATCACGTGTTTTCTGACCCTTGGGGAACAATTGAGCTTGCTTTAATTTTACAATAATTCAATGACTGAAAATTAATTATATAAATAAAATCAATCAATTTAAAATAAATGGTTTATTTTAAATAAGATCAATCATCTCATCAAAAAAGATTACTTTAATTATTCAGTGATTTTAGTACTGCATCCTGAACTCCAAAATAATTAAACATCTTTTCATTTTCATCATAACCATCAATAACTCCTTTTGTCTACTCAGTAACATAAATAGAACTGAATTCACCTTCTGTTAACTTTCTATATGATCAAATTGCTCATAAAGTATCCATTCCATAATTCCATATGGAAGAGATGAAAAATGCTGACATCCTTGAATAAAACTATCAATTATCTCATTTCCGGACTGTAAAGTAAGTGTAGGTAGGCTAATACACTTTTCACAAAATTTAATAGAATATCTTGTTATTTACAATCGCAATGATTGGTTCACCCCATTTATTAATTGCTTTTTTTAATTCAAAATCATAAATAAACCTTTTTCTATGATATTCCTTTCCATTTTCTAATAGTTCTTTGTTTTCTTTGGCTAATAGCAAAAAATAACCCTTTCTATTTTCTCTGTTAGGAGTAGTTGGGAAAGCAGAGTAAGCAATACTATTCATTTCATTATGAGTTTTATGTGCTAAATCTCTTCTGTCTTGTGTTGATAACTTAATGAAGGACATTTTTATTTTTTAAATAAGGGCCTTTGTTTGTTTTCTGCAATCACCACACATGGTATATTTATTTTTAATTTTTATAAGCAATGCACACGAATTTTAATATGCACTGTTTTAATTTCAAGAGGTTTCAAATGTCCATCTATTTAATATCATTTAGCATAGGTTTGGCAATGATTTTTTGACCCAAATCTTCTTGCAGAAGGATCAAGTAATGTTCATTATAAAATGTGGTGATATATATATGAGACCATTTAGATTATTTTTATAGGACGCGAAAGATTTAAATGCCAATTACAATTTGTGTTCTTTGTGATTTAGATGGTTTGATTCCGCTTCTACGATCAAATTAACTTAGATTTTAATTAGCAAAATGAATTATTGAATTCCTAAAAATATTTATTTATTTGTATTTTCAAACAGAGGTGGAGCGAAATAATACTTTTTATTATTATTAGCATTGGAAATAATAATAGTATGTATGATCTTACGTCAACCAGAATTTCAAGGCCTTACAAGTAAATTGAAATTTTCCTAATTTAACCTTCAAAAAGTTCGATGCACCCATTACAATTGTCTTTACTTTATACGCCCTTCTAGTTTTATGAACATCTCGAGGAAAGTGCCAATAAATGCAACGCTTTTAAATTGTCATAGAATAACCAATACTAGCTAGCTTCTTGTTTGAGTAGTCGTTTGAAAGTTTTAGTTTAGCTTTCAAATTTTTCATTTAATGCGGGAAGGTTGTCACTTAGCCTCGCAAACATTTTATTGGTCGTGTAGATCCTTCAAATCCCCAAATATGGAAATGCAACACCCCAAAATAAATCATGTTTTTGAAGCCAGGACCTTCCTCTACATAGTTACAATTTCATCTCATTGACATGTCATCAAACTACAGTCGAATCTCGTTTCAACTAAGTGGCTGGACATATAAGAAAAGTTCATTCAAAATTCGTTGAAACGAGATTACTACCGCGTTTCAACGAATTTTTGTAATAACAAGATTTTTAAAAATTCGTTTAAACGAGGATTTGACTGTATATATATCGAGCTAAGCAATTAATTGCACTGTAGTCAGTTTAGGAATCGTAATATTTGAGCCCCAAGTAATAATACACTTCAGTCAAACGTTGCATATCGAATTTTTTGGTGTTTCCAAACTGTTCAAGTGCAGTTTCCCAAGAGAGAGAGATCTTCAATCGTCATGATGCTTTTTTTTGACATTTCTTATAATTATTTATTTACGCAAAACAAACGTATCAACCATTTGTTTGACAAAAATATAAATCCCTTAATGAATGCCCCCAAAAAGCGGTTTTCTTTTGGATGCGTGGTGTGTGGGTGGTATAAGGACGCGTTTCGCCCTTTTTATTTTTCTCTTTAAATTTTTTATAAAAAAAAAATGGATTAATTTAAAACATGGACAGAAGAAAGTAGTTACACTTGCTTACATATAAAATTTTTAAATCCACGTGAAGCTACTACAATAAACTCATAAATATAAATTTCATATCCCTTATGAAATCACATTGAAATGTGACTCGATCAACTCGATCAATCATTAATCAATATGTTTGATTTACCTTTTAAATTTTATCATATTAAAAAATAGCCATTTGATGATCCAAGTATGAGTGTCAATAATTCTATTAATGAAGTACATAAAGTTACTCTCTCTATAACGAATCTTTCTATAACGGATCTTGCTCTATAACAGACTGAGAAATTTATATAAATTATTACTGTTTATAATGGATTCTCTTTTATAACGGACGTTTTTCTTAAGCCAAATGGTTCGTTATAGAGAGAGCGAACTATATATATAAAGAGTAGTTGTTATACAAAATGAATAAATAAATATGAAAAATTTTATTTGATATATTTAGGTTTGTGGTTGACCAACCTAATTTTCAAAATGAAGAATCGAACACAAAGACTTTTATTATAAAAAGTATAAGAATAAAAAACAAATATTTATAAAAATGCAGATTTGGATTTGGATTTGGATTTGGATTTGGATTTTAATTGTTGTCTTATAGTTAAAGGTATTCTCCACCAATTGGAAGGTTTTATTTATTAGAGAAGAAAGGATAAGAGATAAAAGTTAGCACGTTTGACATTATGATTGGTGTTGTAAAAGTGGTGTAGAAAAGAGTTAAAGCAATAGAAAAAAAAAGAAAAAATTATATGAAATGTGATTTAATCAAAATATATCAACTATTGGTTTATTATATTTATTATTTATCAAAAATATTTAAGTAAATTTTTTCAAAATAATACAGATTCCAACATATTTGATATGATGATTGGGCGATAAATCCAAACATTAAGTGTGCAAGTGTAAATATATTAACATATTTATTGGATTAATTTATGTATATAATTAGATTTTGTTTTTATCATTTACATAATTGGGCATACAAACTTTGCATCTAGTATTAATTTGATTAAAAAGAGATCATGGTTAAACAATCTGGAAAGAATTGTTGTTACGTGACCATTGATTAGCAAATATTAATCGGAAAAATTCTTACGCGACAATCAAAAATCATTATTATATTAGGAGGTTTTTTGTGGTTAAATAATATGAAGAATTTGTTTGTTATACACGATCATTAATCAGAAAATATTATAGGAAGTATTTTTTTTTTTTTCAAAAATAATTCTTTTATCTTTAATTGATAAAGTTTAGGGGAAAAGCTGAAAGAATGCATAACTTAATTTGTAAAATGCTTGCCTACAAAAGGGAAGAAATTTTTATAAATAAAGAAATATGGAACTCTAAATTTGCACAAAAACTTACACCTCGGTGAAATTATAACGAACTAAGTGCTAATAATTAGGGTTGTTAATGGGTTGGGTTGGGTTCATATTATAGTGAAGCAAGGGTTAACCTAACCCAACCCGGGTTAAATGTACTGGGTTAATACTCCATGGGTTGCTCCGGGTTACTACAGGTTACTCCAGGTTGATGCCAGAACATTATGCTCCATTTAACAACCCTAATTGAAATTAGCCAATCAAATATGGGAATATTCCTTTTAATTGGCTACATATGTGTAGAATATATTTTTCTTATTATTTATTGGATGGATATCTGGGAAATCAGTTATTTTGAATCAAATAGTGATTCGTCAGATTTATCTTATTGTTTATCTGTTTTAGTAGAATCAATAGTTTAATGATTTTTTCATTTATTTTATTTTTTAAATATACTCACATATTGAAAAAATATTAATATAAGATCCTACCATATCACGATATACAAACTACATTACACACAATCTAATGAATTAGAATCAAGCGATGGTGATGATGATTCGTTACCACGACAATGTCCACCATAACTATCGCTACTACCATTATCATCGTTATCATCTAGATATTTTTTAACATAGCCATCATTATCATTATCATTGTCATTGTCATTATTGTCACTAGTATCATTCTCGTTATTGTTGTTATCATTATAATTGCCACTTTCATCATCATAATTACTAGTATTGTTGTTATTATTATTATCACAATCATTATCGATAATGGTTTGAGCCAATCTATCAATAAATCTATTTGAACGATTTCCAAGAGTAAGCGATAAAGATTCAGATTGCTTTACTGGATAATTGAGATTGCTATTATTATCAATATTATCATAATGATCAAATGGATTAAATGGCGGTGGCGTCATAACGAAAATAAAATCATTATTTGGATTTGTTTTTTGTTGTGCAGATCTCATCATATAATCTCTTATTGGTGATACTGGATATCTTTTATCATTATCATTATAAAGATTATCATCAGTATCAATAATATTGTTATCATCATTATAAAGATTATCATCAGTATCAATAATATTGTTATCATCATTATAAAGATTATCATCAATATCAATAATATTGCTATCATCATTATAAAGATTACCATCAATATCAATAATATTGCTATCATTATTATAAAGATCATCATCAGTATCAATAATATTGTTATCATCATTATAAAGATTACCATCAATATCAATAAAATTGCTAACATTAATATTAATATTAATGTTGTTGTTTTTGTTGTTAGCGAGTTGATTCGGGATTTGATGGCAATTAAAAGCATTCGAATTTGATGTTGTTGATTTTTGTAAATTAAAACCATTGATTTGATTATTATTTATTTTACGATTTGTATATTTTTGCTGTTGAAAATGATGACGATGATAATACAACCTGTCACCACCACCACCAATATTACTACTATTAGAAGAAGATAAACAGCGTTTGTTTGTTCTTAAAACATTAATATTTTTATTCCATTTTGGAATATATTTTGAAATATGAGAATGTTGTTGGTTAATAGTAGCTGCTACTGCCGCTGCTATAACATTTTTTTTTGATTCATTTGCCATTTCTTCCATTTTATGCTAAATTATTATCATTATCATTATTATGTTAAAGTAGAGGAATATTTTTTTATTAAATTTTTTTTTTATCTTTTATAATGATATTATTTTCTCTACCTGCATTTTACCATATTTTTTATTAAGTTTTCCTTCATAGTATTTTTTATCATTGTATGATAATCTTTTGCTATTTGAAGATGGCGGCAAAGAGGGCGAACCGAAATGTAATTGCGCATAGTTTTTAAATGATCTTTCTTCTACCATACAAAAAAAATATAAATATAATATAAATATATATATTCAACAAAAGAACGTTTACGACTACAACAATTAATAAATTATAATACCAAAGTCTGATATTTTAACAACAGTTTTTGAAATTCTATTAAAAACAAATATAGAAATCAAGAAAATATTAATATATATATATATATATATATATATATATATCGTATAGCAAACAAAAGCAAATATAAACAGTTTGAAAAATAATTATTCTTTTTTAAACCTTGCAAAAGGTACATTCACTAAATCATCGCTTAACGTTGTTTCCATTCTTAAATTTTTATTTTTAAATTTAAAATTAAAAAATTTTTTTATTACTAAACTACTCTCATTCGAATTTGAAACGTCTTCTTTCAAAACTTCCGATGCACATTGTAACACAAAAAAATAGAAACGCGTGCGTATATATATAACTAAATTTGCTTTGAGACAAGATCTTGGAATAAATACATAAAACATTAACAATTATCAATATTAGATATAGTAAATATGGACAAACTTCATCTGCATATATTTATTTTATCCGTTAGATTTTATTGATTTATTAAATGAAATAAGAATTGGAAAAGACATTAACAATAATGAATCAATTATCATCTCCTTTACAATATCCTGATGATAATATTGAATTGTAAGTTGTTGGATCTTTACTATATTATTATTATTATTATTATTATTATTAATTTATATATATTATTTATTGTAAATATTATAAAAAGATATTCAAATCGAGATTATTCGTATGAAAATCATATTTATATAAAAGAATTTATTAGTAATTGTCTATATATAACCCAGCATATTAGAATTGAAGCGCGATGCTTATTAAAACTTTGAAAGAAGGTTTTGTAAATGGAAGTAGAGGTGTGGTTATTGGTTTTCATTCCAAGCCTTTAGAAACAAGTTATTGTATTGATGAACAAGAAGAATTGTATCTAAAAGATTTACTTCCAATAGTTAAATTTTCATCAAATAAAGTAAGAGATAATAGATGAAATAGAATGGAAGTCAATAAAAAATGAAATTGTAGTGGCAAGCACTTATCTACTGTTTGTGCTCGATATAGTGACCTACTTTATAATGAATCGCACAATATAATGAAGCTGGGAAATTTCATTATATGTAAATTCAGCTCGATATATATAATGATTTATCCGATCTCTTGATATTGAACGGTTTGTAACTTTTGGTCGTCACATCTTTTGTAAAAATGCTGCAAAGTAACAACATCGCAGCATTATATTGGTAGTACAATTGTGATGTTGAGCCCCCCAAAAAATTTGCTAAAATGTCGAAAATTTTAAATCGAGTGACTGGTACATTTCAAAATTTGTTATTATTATTATTATTATTTTAAAAATCGTTTATTGATAATAAATAGTTCTTGATGAATATACACGAAATCGGAATATTCAACATCATTTAAATGTGACAATTACGCGGCGATTCCTGGAATCGAGATAATATCAGGAACCATAACAAAATCGCGAAGAGCTTTTGAAGTTGACGTTAGTTAGTGTCAGCAAGTATAAATTAGAAGTGATAACAACTGAAATAATCATAATCAATTGATTTATATTTATTAGATAAAAAAACCAAAGCAAGAAATAAAAAAGAGCTTGTGAAGCAGTAGATTTATAATATATAATCATTAACAATTACTTGAAGAACATCCACCAGATGTTCCTAATTATCTTACAGTTTGCAATTAAATCTCTAAATTTCCTCCAAGGAAATTTTGTTCAGTCTGTGGATTCTTATTATCAAAGTATACTTGTAGAACTTGTGGAATAAAATATTGTGGTTTAAAGTGTTTTAGAAACTCATAAAGAAACAAGGTTAATGTATATTTCTTTAAATTTATAAAAATTAATAAACTTATTAAATTTTTTATCTTTGTTTTTTTAGTTGTATGAAAAATACCGTCTAAAATATTTCACGTCTTTTTGCTTCAATACTTTTTTTTTAAAGGATTATTAAAAATTGATATTTATTCAAATGTTTACAAATTTCTTGAATAGTTGATCTATTCTCCAGATTAGAGCCCCAGAAACTTTCATTAATTCCTAGGCGTGTCCTTAGTTATCTGAGGCCTTTCTCCATTCCAAATATCTAATATAAGACTTCTATCGTGTAGCCTGTCATAAAATGGGTTTTTACCCATAATCATTCCAGTACCATAAACGTTGGATATTTTTGTATGCGGGATTCCCAATAATACTTCAGGTTGCATGTATGGAAACACCCCAGAGATTTCTTTCGAAATATTATTAACTGAATTATTATTATTGTTATTGTGGCATGGCTGACCTAATCCCAATGCTTATTTCTCTTTTGCTTTTCCAATGATGCATTATCATTAATCCATTTCAACTTTAATGGTTTATTAATTGAGTTTTCATAAAAAAAAAAATTCTCCCTCCCAGCTACTATCGTCATCACCCCCACTCAACTTCATTATCAAGAACTCTTGTCATTCAATTTTATTCTATTTGTTTTACATCACTTTCTTCCCAGCCAATATCATCATTATCAAGAATTTTCAATTCTATTTCTTTTTCCTTTATTTATTTTTTTACGCCGAATTTTCCATTGTACTTATTTCTTGATTTCTTGAGTGTATTTTTCTTTTGATTTGTAATAAAATTACATGTATGTAAATTTTATCACTTTGTACTACGAAATTTTGGTTTTTATTAATAATGTCACTTTGTACCACTGAAATTCAGAAATTGTGGTTTTTAAATTCTAAAAACAATTTCTTTATGTAAGGTGTAATAAATAATGTCGCAATCGATTCAAAGAATAGATAAAAGTATAAGTGTGGCATCCTTAATAGCGGTTTTATGTTTTCCACCAATGATATTATATCAAGTAAATAAACGTAAATATTCAAAGTTCAATCAATTCTTTAAATTATGCGCTCGCTCTTTTTCTTTTTTAAATATCTGTCTGTATATAGTTATCTAAAAAAAGATTTGATTTCACTAATAAATTTTCATTTTTATATTTATATATATGTATATATGTGTATATATATAGATTTACTTTCTAGATCTTTAGATAGCCTACATTTTATATTTTTTCAATTAGTTTTCTTCTTTGCATATCATCATCTTTTAGGAATACCCAGTTTATCAAGAGTTTTAATAAATTATTTTTTTAAAAGTAATAAAAGCAACAAAAGCAATAATAATAATAATAATAATAATAATAATAATAAATCAAGGACATCGTCAACAACAACAACAGCAAATGCCGGATCACCATCTTCTTCAAGTAGATCAACAAATAATTCGTCATATGTTCATAATCCAATTATATCGAGTAATAAAAGTTTTTATTTATTTATTATTTTAAAAAAAGTTTAATGATTACTGATTTTTATTTTTGTTTATTGAACTATTTAGTTAATAACAAATATTCAAAAACGACTAATGAATTATTAAAAAGATTTTTAAAACTTGTTGATACAAAAGATGATAAAGATTCATCATGGAAATTGATATACGAGGAAGGATCTAAATCTGCTGCTGTTACTAATACTACTACTATAGATTTTAATAATAATAATAACAAAAACAACAACAATATTATTAAAATATATCAAAATCCATCGATATCAGAATTTTGTTATAAAATTGATAGTATAATGGAAAATACACCGGAAACTACATTTGACTTATTGGCAGATATTAAAAGAAGATCAGAATATGATAGTATGGTGGAAGAGGCTAGGATTATTGAGAATGTTGATGATTCAACAAAAGTTCAAGTAGGTGTTTTCGTAAACATTTCATTAGTAACATAACATAAATATATTTATTGATAATAAATAGAATAATAATGATGAGAATATATTTTGCACAATTAGTATGTTCGTATGAGTCCAGTATTCCCAGCAGCGCCAAGAGATTTATTAACAGTTGGATTATTGACACAACTTGAGGATGGTAGAATGGTGATGGTTAATCAGAGTATAGAACATTATTTATGTCCAGAATATCATGGGACAGTTAGACTTAAAGTCGATTTAGCAGGATTTATAGTTGAACGTATCAAAAATCAGCCTAATAAGTGTCGATTAATACAAATATCTGATATTAATTTAAAAACAGGCTGGATCCTAAAATCTCTAACGTCAATAGGTATGTGAATTAGTTGATTAATGAATTTGTGAATGAATTAAAAATTTTTTTTTCAAATTTTTTAGTTAATTGGAAATAACTTATTATTTTCATTATTAAGATTTACCATCATATATTAAAAAATTAAATTCAATACTTTTGAAATTACCAAGACAAAGTGTTTCAAAAATGCTTTGCCACACTCCTATACCAATACTTTCATTACAATCATCATCATCAAAATCATCAAAATCATCATATCACAATGGAATAGGAGGAACTCATAGTAATTATTCATCTAAATCTCAAAAAAGAAATATAATTATTTCAGAATATGGTGATGGTGGTGGTAGTGGTAATAATAACGAGGACGACAATAATGTCAATAATAATAACGACAATGACGATATTAATGACATTATTATTAATTATAATGGTAATCACAATAGCAGTAATGATAATGGCAGTAATAATAGATCGATCAATAAATCTAATAATAATTCACCGGCAAACAAAGCTTTTTGGAAAACATTTATTGAAACTATATTGTTTATAGGAGCAAGAAAAGCAAACAATAATAACAATAAAGATTCATCGTCATCGTTATCTGTTGTTAACACGGGCAAATTTGTTATTGCAGCAGCAGCATACGCTTTAGTACTTTTAGCAGGAATTAAAAAATGGCGTAATAAAAATTCAATTACATGAAAAACAAAAAAATTTATTAATTTTATATTTTTTAAAAATTTATTATTTAATATTTATCATTTTCAGCATCTTTTTTTTATATAATTTAATCATCAAAACCATTTTAATATAAAATTCACAACTCTTGCTTATAGATGGAGGATATGTATATTGCAAATTTAATTATTATATTTTTTTGCATGTAAAATTTTATTTATATAATTTTGGGGGGTTTAAATTTCTACTGTACAAAAAAAAAAAAAATACATATACATATATATATATTATATTAAAATTATTTTAAAAAAAAAGATGCCCAACTAATAAAAATAATAACAAAAACAATAATTGTTGTTATAATTATTATTTTATATAATTTCTAAATGAATTTTGTGATGCTATAAATTTCTGTTTTATTATTGATGATAATGATAAATTATCATCGTTATTATTATTATTATCATCGTCATCATCATCATCATCATTATTATTATTATTGTTATTATTAAATTCTTTTTCTTTTTCTTTTTCATATCGAATATCAAACTCTACGAATTGAATGCACATACCAATCAAACCACCAATAAATCCAATTGACATTAACATTACATCAACATTTTCATCAACTATATAACGATAATCGTCTGGTTGAGTGAAGCCCCAAAATAATTTAAAGGAAGCCAAAACACCAGCACGAACAAAAATATCAGTGCCAAGTAATAAACAATAACAACCAGTTGCAACGGTTGATATGATTGCCACATACTGATAATAATTTTTCAGACCGGCTAATGCAGCAAAGGTTATAGTAAAAGCCCCAATCCAGGAATAACGTGCTATTTGATTTGTGAATAAACCGTCAGTTTTTGTTGATAATGCAAACATTGATAATGAGAATCCGCCAATTGCGCCAACAAGAATTCTGCCAGTTGGCCATAAACATACAAAAAACATTCCGACTAAAGATCCTATTCCAGTGCATAATATAAAATATATAAAACGTAATGTTGAACTTGGATTTGCAACATCTTGAAATTTCAATATAAATAGTAATATTATCATGCCTATTTTTTTAAAAAAAGAGAATGAATTAGACAATGCAAACGGATTAAATTGATTAGTATTAGAGGATTATTTTATAAAATGAAATATACCCGTTACATAAAATCCAGCTATAAATATTGAAAACCATTTATACTTATTTCCACGAAATAAATTAGCCGTGCCTGAAGACAATAAAACTATCCCCGTTAGATAACTAGTAACATCTAACGGATAATTATTATCTCTCGCTAATATAAAAAACAATAATAATTAGCTTACAAATGTAAATAATATAATACATATAATAATAAGTAGTGATTACATAATTACTTGAGTTTACTGTCTCTTTAACTGTTTCATTATAGGGTGGAGATAATTCTTCGCCATTTCTTTCATTGCCAGTTTCTTGCGGTATTGTAGTTGTTGATATTCCTTGTGTTTTTACTGAAGGTATTGTAAATGTTAGTATTAACAATAATATTATTATGAATATTATAATATGATTTTTTCTTTTGTTTATATGATTTATTATTATCATTTTACTGTTGTTACTACTACTACCATTTATATTATTATTACTACTGCTACTAATTACTACGATATTATCAGAAGTAAAGAAAATTGCCAAAAAAAATTGGCGAATTAGAAGAGAGAAAACAAAAAAGATATTTAAAAAATAGTAGTAGTAGAGTTTTATTCGTAATACAAAATTTTTAAGTAATACAACTCAAATTTATTCGTTTATTTATTATTCGCTTTATTCAAACTATTTCTTTTACTCGAATTATTCGTTTTATTCGTTTTATACAAATTATTCGAATAGAAATCCTACTATGACTATTTGCTATATAGCAGAAAAATAAATAAATAACATCTATTACTATTATTATTATTATCACTTACAAAGGAAAAAAACCAATTACTACAACTATTATTATCAATTGACTAAAAAAAAATGTCAATTATTTCTGCTACTATTTTACCATCACTGTTATCAGGAATTGATAAAAGAAATTGGAATTGGATCGTGTATATGCTATTACTATTACTATCAATGAAAATTTTAAATTGCCTATAATAATAAATAATAAATGATTTTTGTAAATGTTGCACGAATATTTTCCATACTTCCAGCTTCGTAATACAGAGATGACTTGTTGATTTTATCCAAAAAATACATTAATATTAACATCTCATCATGTGATAAAGGATCGAACCTTTCCACACGAAGCACTCAAGGCATCATTTTGCTTTTTTTAAAGCTTCAGAGCTTTGAATTGATTTCGGAATTTCGAAATAGTCTTTGATGTTTTTAAAAACAGTTTCGTCCTTTCAAAATAGTTAAGTCGGACTCACGTGATATTTAAAATTCGTGATTTTATATATATATTTAGTAAAAATCATCACAGTTCGCTTCATACCATTATTATTGTTACTACAGTCTGCGCTGTCTATATAACGGATCTTTCTATGACGGATATTATTAATTAAACTTTTTATTAAGTATAACGGATTGTATCTGAAAATCACTATATAATAATAAATCAACACTGCCTATCAGTGTTGAAAATTCAATGCCCGCGTGTAACATTACACACCAATCAATTTTTTAATTTTTGGAGATAGTTTCTAAATTTGTACTAGTTACA